CGCTGTATCCGCTTCCTGTACCCACGTCAATAAATCGTTTATAAACAAGATAAACAGCAGCGGTGACATAGTCAAGAGGCGAGGGTCTACATAGTCAAGAGGCGAGGGTGGTGTGCGCAGCTAGCTTCCACGTTGGCATCGCGCAAGACGGCGCGCGCTCTATATTGTTCAGCGAAGCCTGCGGTTCAGCGAAGCAATATTCGCTCCACCAAACAGCAAGCTGTCCGGAGCGAGTTTGGGCCAGCAGCGGCGATGCGTGCGTGCAACACGTGCAACGGGGTCCTGGTGCCTGGAAAGACAGATTAAATATGCACTGTGCTTGAGGGCCTTAAAGTTATTTTTGTGGATTCCGTTACGCCGACTATACAAGTGCTATGTTTATTCTGTTGAAATTGCTAATGACTAGGCTCCGAACTTGTACATCTACTGGTAAAACGGAGAACGGCTACGGACTTGGTATTTTCTCTTCTGGCGAGTGGTCCTCCCCGGCATCGTGTTCTCTACGATTCGAATTAAGACAGTTTTGCAAAGCTGAAAGCTCAGTAATTTGTTGTTGTTGGTACTCCAGGCTTCCTACTTTCTTCATACAATTCAGGATTCTATAAGGAATATAATCACTAGCCAAGAGAGCTCCAAAGCCATCGTGTGCCTTCTGTCGATGGTCTGTGTAGAACACTTTTATAAACTATATTGCACGAATAAAAATGTCAAGAAAAGATGAGAACCAAATTGCAAGATGTGAAAACATCTTAAAAGATAAGAAAAGGGGCTGGGTAACTTTACCATTAGTAGCTCACGGTTCTGGAGAGAAGGGCAATAGGTTTTGGCAGAAAAAAAATGCGTAGTTAAAAGTCATTAGAATATTATTCAAGATTTCAGTTTGTCAGTGCCGAGACGCATCTCGTCAGACCACGAAACAATTCACGGACAATTATTCAATCATAAGCAACCCCCTCAAAAATCTTGCTCCCCCGAGGTACGAGCTCGGCATGCAAGTGCGCTGTGAGCGCCGTGCACACAGGCAGAGTGCGCGCAACGTGTTCGCAAGAGCAGCGCCGCGCCGCGCCGCGGCGAGTCCCCGGCCGTGATCTCCCGCGGCGATTCGCGCGACGGCCCGTCCCGGGACGGAGATGGAAGGCGGCGAGCGCTGCGCCCCGTAATTACCCTGCCCCGCGCCCCTCACGTCACTACGGCAAGCGCCCGAGGCGCGATGCGGCCAGTGATGCCAATTTCGTCATTTCCTCCCTAAATCTGGTTCTTGGGAGGGCGACGGACGCCGCAGAGGAAAATGAGGAAACGATAACCGCATAGTTTGAATGAAGGTGGTATTAATGGTTAGTTATAGTTACTGCAGGATAACCTATTATTTTCACTCTTTGGGAAGACATGTGTGTTGATTGATTCTCGTTGAAAAACTGAACTGGAAATAATTTATGAGGATATAATTGAAGATCTTCAAAAGTACGTAAAACTAATCAATAGTTTAATGAAATATGAGTTTGAGGAAGCCGTTGGGAAGTACTTGGGTAGACACGCAACAGGGCAGTAGTTGGGCAGGAACTGTTGCAACTGATGACGTAGATGTGTGACAGACGGCCAGATATCTATGGGAAATCTTATACGTATGCCCATGGTCGCACTCAGTTGATTATATCCTAAGAGAGCCTCATGTTTCATCTCTTATTTACATAACGTCTGGTAGTTTTCGCTTTTCGTGAATATTCCCTAAATTTATATTTTATATAATATAATAAATGTAATTTTTACTTTCACGTATACGTACGTGCAAACAGAGTAATAAACGTAGTATAGAAAAGATTATGAGATTTCAACGGCAATACAGGTTTTGGGGTCCCCTGATACAGAGAAAGTGTTGTTTTCTTTCTTCAAAACGTCCATCAGTCTGTCCGTCTGTCCGATGTGTGAGAACAACACTAGCGCCTAAACTCCGCGTAGGATGTTTTCTAAACTCAATAAGCTCCTATCTATATGGCCTCATTCAAAGCTCTGTCGTTTTGAAAAACATTCTTTAATTTTGGGGGTACATTATATTAAGTTTCCATGACATTTTCAAAATTTTCTGAAAAACACCTCCAAAGATTTTCTTTAAGGGGAGTCTGACAGTAAAAAACAACGAAACATTGACATTTTAAAAACTGTGAAGATAGTTAAATTATTTTGACTTTCCTGAACACATTGTTAAGAGTTAATGTAAAATATAAGATTATTGCAAAATTCGATGTGGATTTTTTAAAAATGTTTAAATCTCTCTCTGCCGTCGATTGGGGGCATATTTCATTTCTTATGGTTTGTCTTGTCTGTTTTGTTAATTTTTGTTTATTGGGTCAACCTAATTATCTTAATGTCTGTAACTTATGTGGACTCTAGCACAGGTTCGTTCTTCATGTTGGCTAAACTATCACAATTGTTACAACTTCATTATTGCACTTTTATAACATTGGTTTGTTTACATTTGTTCTTTGTGTTCGAGAGCTCAAAAGTACGGTTTGTATACGGGAAGTACACAATGTGATCAAACGTATCTGGACACGTGGCTGAAAACCACGTACTAATTCGTGGCGCTATTCATCGGTAATGGTGGAATTCAATAGTGCGTTGGCCCACCCTTAGCATTGAGGAAGGTGTTTAAAAATCATCAAGGAACGCCTGTGCCGTGATTGTGCCACACAAAATAAGGGACAAGCCCTTTCACTGAAAAATACGACCCCACCATAACACCATTTCGGACGTGTCCGGATACTTTAGATCAGACAATGTATACCTTGTTTGTTAGGAAAATGTCGACTAACGAGGCGAGAGATAATATAAGGAGGTTTTAGTTAATAAATAGTTAATAAAAATGTGGATTGCTTTAAATCAATGTAATTATTTTCCCTTCTGTGTGGTATTCAGTTGCATTCTAACGGACGTTTAGAGAGATTTTCAAGACTGAATCCCAATAATGTAATACCTTAATTTTGTCATTAATAGTAAATAACTTATCATCAGAAAAGAGTTTGAGCATGTGCCACCAAACAAAAACTATGTGAAACTATGAAAACTTTAAAACTTGAAAAATAACAATATCGAAAATGTGTACAAATACAAAATAACAATACGTCTTTGTTTAATTTCTATATATCTCTACTTTTTTTGTACTAAATATTAAAATATATCCTTCATTGTACTATAAAACGTTATACTGCTTATAACAGGATGTGCCTTCTAAACAATTTAAAGCCGCCCTGAATATTTTTATTTCCCTTTGCTATAAACAATGTAGACAGAAAATGCATATGGTCTCCAAATACTACAAACTCTGTAGTTTATTTGCAATATATTTCAAAATGAAGAGAATTAAAATACGCCGTAAACATGCATTCATAAAACAAAAGTAATATAAATATTGTTGTTTTGTCTTTTTGACTCCGTGAGTTTCGTAATTAATATCGAATTGGTTTGCGGTAGCTGAAGGAAAGAAATATGTGAAGAGTAAGACAAAAATTCTTGTGGTTTTGTTGCAAACGACAAAATCACAATGGTGGGTTTCATCAATGTAAATCCTTTTATTTGAAATCAATGCATATGTGGTTCAACGCTCCCTGAGTTTGTTAGGTCTTTTGAATTTGTATCTTCCGAGAACTCTTTTCATGTAATATGCAGTATATGAGGCGTTAAACTTGTAATTGACATTTCAGAAATTAATGATGACGTGAATATTTCTACTTGTTTCTTACGATCAATCTGAATTTCGAAGATAAATTAAGAGTTCCTGCAGAAACCAAACGGCCGCCGATGGCGGAATGTGGTAGCCACACGGGGCGGCTGCACGGAGGGCGGAAACGAACGCACTGATGGCGATGGCGTCTGTGTTTACATGCGCCTTTTTGCTGGGCGGAGGTCGCTCTTTTTGCAGGGCACGGCGGTGGCGGCGGCGGTGGCGGCGGCGCGAGGTCAGTGACAGCGCCCGTACCGCCCGCCTGGGCGCCACCTCCGCGCCCGCCGCCAGGAGCGCTGCGAGCGGCGAGGGCCGCCATTGGCGCGCGGCGCGGAGGGCGGGCGCGGGGCCCCGCGGGCGGGCCGCGCACTCGCGCCTCGCCCAGGGAAGCGCCCGCCGAAGCCGCCACCGGAGGAGCGCAGCCACTCCCGCCCGCCCAGCCGGAGCGCGCCGGCGGAAGCGACGCCGCGGGTCTGCCAGGAAGCGACGGGAGATCGCCATGACCGGAGGCGGACGCCGCGCCCCTCCTGCAACCGCCGTTCGCCGCCGCTAGTCGGCATGGACCACCACGCCTACGGATTCGGCAGCGTCGGCGGCCGGCGCGGGGGTGGCCCGGGGTTGGGTCCCCCCGCCGGACGCCGCGGACGCCGACCCGGCCCGGGCTCCGCCTACCTTCCGTCGCCCTTCGGGACCCCGCCGCTCAGCCGGCAGGTGAGTAAAAGCACGCCAACCACGCGGCTGCCAATACGTAAACAAACCGACCCGAGTAAATGGACATATCCAGCGGGAGCGTCCGGTGGGATAGGAAAGGGAACGGAGCACCGGGATCCAGCGGAGACTTGAACGAGCGATAGAGCGAGGCGCTCGGCGTCGGGTCAGAGGGCGGCGGCTGCCGGGATTGCGCCACAGTGAAATCAATCAGAGGTTGGAGCGGCTCACCCGACGCCCCTATCGCCGTCTGCAGAAGGCTCATTAGGCGAAGCGATGGCCTGCGACCCGCCGGTGTGGGGACGCCTGGTGTTTAGCGTGCGTTACCTAAGCGCCAGCCTTGAGCCGACCTCGGGCGCTGGTTGCGTTTCGCGAGCGGTGGCGAGGACAGCGCCCCAAGGCGGGGGCGGGGAGAAGGGGCCTTCGTGCGTGCGACGGAATCCCACGCGGAGCACGTCACGTCACTTTCCATTACTCTTTAGTTCTTGCGCGTCTACATACACGCAATTTTCGCCTTAATTTCATTGATTTTTTTAGTTAACTTTTCTCCACCTCTAGGTTGAGTATGTCTTTACGTTGAGTTAATTTTATTAACGGTGTTTATAATGTTGTATCACTATTTTTGCATATATTAATGAGTAATCCGTGTGTTTTGACTAATTGGTTATATCCGTTGTGATATTGGCGAACAGAGATTAACTATTTATTAGTTAACTTCACGTTGAGAACAGCAAAATCGCATGTATTTAACATTATTAATATATTTTCAGCTACACGAAAGAAAAGAACAGTTGCAGTATACCAGATCCATGATACAAGGGAACTTGTTACAGTATCATGGATCTGGTATACTGCAACTGTTCTTTTTTTGTGTGTGTAACAGTGACATTCGCTCATACGCCTTAGAGTGAGTAAGACTGCAAATTCAGCCGGTGGAAATGCATATAATATGTTCGTGAAAAACTAATGTCATTTTAATAACACAATTCAAAGTTTGTATACCATGTACTTGTGAAGGGTAAAAGAAACATCTCCAAGAAGTAATCATTTAAATTCAACACTGTTTGAATGCTAAGAAATACCTAGCTATGTGAAAACATTCTGCGCCAGCTAAGAGAACAGCTAAGAGAACAGAGCGGAAGGAATCCCCCTTTCTACAAGCTCATCTTTTACGAGACTTCCAGCGGCTGCTCACTCACAGGTTTTTCCACTCTTTTGTCCCACATTTTTCGGCGCCCACGTTAACAATGTGTCATCACCGGAAACAAGCTCGCGACAATCTTCGGTTGCGGGCGCCTTCCCAGCGGCCGACTCCTCCTTGTGACCCACTCTGCCCGCGCGCCGGGTCGCCGGCGGCCGCCCCCGCGCGCGCTCCATTCCGCTCCGCCCCCGCCTTCGACCGCGACCCGGGCGCCCGCGAGGTCAAGGCTCCGCGCGGGCGTCGCTCCGCCTGGCTGGGCGGCCGGCCGGCCGACCGGCTGCGGGGCCCGCCAGGTGGCAGAGGCGCCGACGGCCGCTCGGGACGGGAACTTAATCTTCCTCTCCGGGATACGGAGACTTGCTAATGAGAACACCTGTTCGCTTCACTGGTCAGAGCTCGGGTGTTTGTATGGGGTGCCCCAATCAAAGGTACAAATCACCACTACCAAAAACATTATTTTCTACATGACTATACGACTTACTTTGTCAATTTAATCTCAGAAGACATTCAAACTGCAGAATCAAATTAATCCTTCTGCAGACAGAAATATAATAAGTATATAAGAATATACTACACGTGTGAGACAAGTGTCATCTAAAAGTGTTTCACAGCTCTAGTCTGTAAAACGATCTTTTATGTTGTCGGGTATTTGATTGATTACCTTACGAACCATTTCCTTACTTAGTAGGCAGACATTTTAGTTTACAATTATTACACATTTTCTTTCCATAGATTCGTAAAATGTTCGCGGAAGATCTTGGTTCGACTTCCACTCTTCCACTTCCTCTCTTCCATCACTTCATCTAATAATTGCAAGAATTAGATTCTAACATAGGTACGTTTTCAGGGGCTGGTGAATTAGAATGGTGCTTCATCAAAAATTAAATTATTCTCAGTGGTACCGACCACAGTACGTCCAGTTTTTAGTCACAATCGAGTTTGTAATAAAGCTTCAATATTATTTTCTCCGTATTACTGTAACCTACGCGAAGATAAAAAGGTGCCCGCTGATGTGATAAGTCAATGCAAATGACAGACCACATGTACTTGGAGCGTTTTTATCACAAACCAAAAACGTTTCATTCCGATAAATAAATTCAACCCACAGAGAAGTCACTGGGCAGAGCATTCCTTCATTAACATAGTTAAAATCATACGATTATTGTCTACTCAGAGACGTTGGTCACATACTGATATCTGTAGATCAATTACCGAGTTATTCCAAAGCAAGTACTCTTGGTCTTCTGAGCGTGCGAGCTGTGCCTGAAGACAAATTCATATTTTGGACCTTGTTTGCTCTTGTGCATTACCTGCAGTTACAGCAGCACTGTGCGTATTTCAGTATGTAGGATTTAGGAGAGAATGGGTGTGCACAGGCGCCACTGAGCTACTAAGCATATGATGTCAGATACAATCGAATTATTACCTTTAGCATTCATTTCAAGCCAATAATGCACTTATTAGTGACGATTCAAACATCTTGCACATTATTTTCAATGGAAAAAGTAGACTGTTTACTTCTTTCATAATGGCACAGGGTGACTTAAAGAACATGTGTCTTGAATATGATGATTTTAATTTCTAACGTTGAGTATATTAAATATATAGTCGTAAGAAAATAGAATAGATGCATGATCTGATATTTTCATGATGATTTTATTCGGATTGGGGTGACATACATCCAAGTTTTAAATGCAATGGCGAAATATATATATATATATATATATATATATATATATATATATATATATATATATATATATATTGCGTATTTCGAAACTCATCGTAATCTACCCTTCTTCAAATTAAATCTAATCAATTCCAATCCTCTATGGCCATAAAACTCGTCTTAGCGTGCCGTGCTACTCGGCGCATCACCTTCCGCCCGTGTGTCTCATCTCCTTCAGCAACATCACTGGGGACTGTTAATCGTGTAAGCGGCTGATGGGCAGTGCGCATGAGCGGGCTCCCACTGACGCGATCGTCGTCGCCACCACCGCTGTCACCGACTTCTCCACATCCCCCAGCCTCTCGTCAGTCTCGCAGCTATGTTAACACACTCTCATCGCTCCCCTATAGTGGGCGGAGGGCGTCGGCAGCGTCACGCGCCCACATCCCGCCCGCGGCGCCGCGAATGCAGCGTCACGGTCGGTCCCGGTTCCATCGGGGGGGGGGGGGGGGCACGAGTCCCGGTAGCCGAACCGCAGCGGCGGCGGCGGGGCGGCGGCCACCCTCCGGCTGCGGCGAAGTGGAGCGGCGGTGGTGCGCGGCCGGCCGATGACCGGCCGCGGCGTCCGGCGGCGCGCGGGCCGACGACCGCATCGAGCGCTCGCCGCCGCAGAGCAGCGCCTGCAGCAGCCGCGCGCGCCGCACCCGACGCGTTGCGTCTACGCGCCGCGATGCGCGGGCGCGGGGAGCGTGGCGCGCGCAAACGTAGCGTGCAGTCCGCTGGACGCTCTACGCCCACCGCCCGCCACGCCCCGCCCGCCGCCGTCTCACGCCCGGGCCGCCTTTTAAAACGGTTTATTTCGGCTCGGACCGGAAGTGATACCGGGCGCTTTGCCAGCGTGGGCCAAACGTGTTAAGCTGGCGTCGCCGTCTTGATGATCGTAGGGCCTCTTTCGTGGTATCCCTGGGCTTTTCGCGATTGAACAAAAGTACGATTTCATTTCCAGAACGCTCTTCTATTGTTTTCTCGTTTCTTATATCCAAGAGAGGGCAATTCTTGGGAGAGAGATGTCTCTATCATTCTATTTTTTTACTTCTTTTCGAGCATTTCCGAATTTATTCGAATGAAACATCTTCCATTCACAGAACTCTATCCTAAAAAAATCCTCCTTAATATATGGAATGACATGAGAAGCTTCCGCTTTATTTGAATTTTAGCTAAATAGCGAAAACGAAGAAAATTCCGCTTTTCTCTGGTATTATTTTGTCCATTTAGAATATAAGATACATATCCTTATTTTCGATATTAATATTAAATCTCATTTCTCACTAAATGTTCTAAGATGGGCACCAAGGAATATTGACTCCGTTTTCGACATAGAAGAATATTTTTTCAGATCGAAGGAGTCGAACAGCTTAATGAAAATTAACATTAGAAATATACGGACAATTTTGTACCTAAACTGTTTTCTATGTACCTCTTTGGCAGTGACGAAGGTTAAACTGAATTATTCAAATTGCAATGTGTTATTACGCCAGGACATAAATCGCATACACTAATTGGGCCAGCCGTCTTCGACATGGGTGCGTCACGTCCTACATTTACTGTGCGAAGAGAATTGAAAAGGGAAGTTGGTTCGAGGAGAGTTCACATGCCAGCCCATTACATCGCTCACGTGCGAAAGTGACACCTTCAGAAGCGTCCTCTTCACTTCACATCGCAACGCGTTTTTCCGGTTTGAGCCACGCGAGATTTCAATGTAAATACCACTCAGGGCGTTTTTGACATTACGACGTTGAAATAAAATACCAGTCGCTGCGTATGCTTTTTCGTCTATGAGCACGACAATAGGAAACTATCATGTTGACGATGTCATATTTAATGACAGTCATAACTTGACCAACGCACTTAACATATTACATTGCATTACAGTAACACTGAGTGAATGAACAGTATTAGTAAAGGTTATCGGTGGTCGTGGGAGGCAAGAACGGCTGCTGGTTTGATGGCCTTTAATCGAGGAAGCGAGACAGTTCGCGCGCCTGTCGGTCGCAGTCAAGGTCGCTCTTCCTTAAACGCACTCTTACTCGCCTTCCTTGAAGACATGGGTTTCTAACGGTCGCCGACCTCTTCGTTAAACCAGAATGAGACGTAAGTCGCGATGGAGGATCTGTGAATGCTTTTACAAATAGAACTAGATTCACACTAGGCGTGACTGGCGCACGGTCATTTTCCAAAGTGCTGACGAGGACAGTCTCACAAGGGCCTTGCAGCAGACTTCCAAGTTGTCATTGCTGATTATTACGTTTCACAAACATGTACACGTGAACCATCAGCCTCGAACTGGAAGTCAAGAACGCATTTAGCAGCGGGAGCCCCAGAGACACCAATTCTTATGCAAACCTTCGCCGATGCTTACGCAAAATAGTGTTTGGAATTACTAAGATGTCTTTCAGAGATAGTCATGCGTTGTATTTATTCGCATATAGTTGCATCTGGTTTTCTTTTCTTGCTACTTTTTATAGAAAATAAGTACACAAAATTGTAGTCTAAAATTAATGACTTCTAGTTTTTATGTACTACCTGAAAAGGACTACATCCTATATGAGACGTGGACCTACACACAATAAATAGAATTTTTAAATAAGTAAATTATACACATATTGCCAAACTACATACCACCGTAATACATAGTGAAAAATAGGTACCGGTATGTGAATGAGAACGTCAATTCATATAATTAATTTATTTATCTACAACGTACTGTTCAAATTCTGAAAAAGAGAAAAAAATATTACAAATTGTCTTATTTGTTCACTGTGTTGATAAATGTTCAGTAAGCGTGATAGCCTTAAACATTCATCATTTAATAATTATGTTATTTTCTTATATTACTTTCTCTTTTTACAAAATCTAAACAAATTTCACCTAATCTCTTTTCCAAATCACTAGATGCAAAACAGTTCCGAAGACCGTCTTCAATACAGTGAGAGAGTTTTAAATACATGACATCTATAATTACTTTAATATAAGTTATTTCGATTAAGTTCATCTTAAGACCTTTTCATTTGAATAATCGAAAAGGGTGCTTTCGCTCTTACGAATGATTCTGTATCTGAGAAATACACTTAACGAATATTATCGAATGTATTAATAATAACATAAATAGTTCCAGAAACGAAATGAGAAAATACACGTTGTCATTCTCTCTGTGACACGGTCAGTACCAGAACATTCCTCGTCACCTGAAGTAAACTAATTTTGGACAGAAGGTGGTGTCCTTTCTCTGGCGATGCAACCTCTCTTGACTCTTTCGTAATTCAACGAAACTGAAACGTTACACAGCTCAGCTCAATGAGTAATCATTCTAAAATCTCAGCCAGTGTAAATAATAAATAATATTAACCGAATATATCCGCAGCGTTTGTGTAAATCCTTTAAAATCAGTAGTTTTGCAGGTCCACTTTGAGCTAAGTCAATCGAAGGCAGGAACTTAAAATTTAGGAGCAAGAAAGAGAAAATCGATTTATGATAATATTCACGTATTTGTGTTTTGGAAGTAAAATGCTTTATATTCACGATTGAAGGGATTAAAAATTGTATTTCTCTCTGAATCATACCTGTATGCATTATAATGAATAATTATTCATTACAATTATTGGCATGTGGCCACGTGTAATTAAATTGTTTACTTTTGTTTTCTCTTATGGCTTAAGAGCAAGCAGAGAATTGGAAGCTTTGAACATTAATACACAATATTGAGTTGTCGAATAACACGTGTTTTGCACTTTGCATTAAACATCACAGATAAATAAAATATAGTACGTAGAATTACTGTAAATATCTTTGTTGATTCTTAGAGTATTTACATAGTAATCATTCCAACAACTTCCATTCCATATTCACAGGAAGAAATAATTCATGCCCTTAGCTAAAACGAGTGATGACCTAATTGCACATATCTCGCTTAAAACTCTGAATCTAGTATGATCTGTATACATTTTTTAATACATTGTATTTACATCGACCGGGGAATATCCGGTTTGTGAAACAAATTCTACGTATGGTTTAGGCACTAGTGATGTTCACAGACAGACAGAGACTCGCGGGCAGTCGGACACATGGAAAGACGGACGGACAGACGAATATTTGAAAAAAAAAACCAACATATTTTCGGTATTAGTATCGGTCCCGAAATGTATATTTCCTTTAAACTTTCGAAATCGATTCTCCGCAGCATTAAATTACTTTCTCTTTACGAGCGCGTATATTACTATCTCTATGCGAGTCCGTACTACGTATATTACTCCGTATATACATACGTATAAGAGAAAGTAAAAAAGCCTTACTCGTATATTATATTCATCAACTGCAATACGCCCTTGTACTGAGCGGTCAGGAAGAAGAAACTGATGTCAATGCGTGGATCAAATTCTGTAGAACGCTACACGAGAGAGAGAGGGAGGGAGAGGGGGGAGAGAGGGAGAGAGTGGAGAGAGAAGGGTGAGAGGGAGAGAGACCCGTGGCCTCAGAAGGGAGAGAACCTCTCCAAAAAACGGCGGTGCTCCACGTGTTATACTGCTGTCTGGGGCAAATACTTCAGTGAAGAAGTGGCGGCTGCGATGCGCCTCGCCTTCTGTGTTGCAGACGTGGGGGCTGGGGCTGAGCGGCGGCAGCGGGTCGCTGCGCGCGCCCCCGCCCGCCGCCTCCACGTGCAGCGGCAGCTCGTCGTGGCTGCTGTGGCGCGAGGCGGCGCCGGGCGCCAAGCCCCGCGCGCGCCGCAGGGGCCGCCTCTGCTCCGCCCTGCTCGCCGGCAGCCGTGCTGCTCGTCGTGCTGGCCGTGCTCGCCGTCGCCTCGCTCGCCGTCTACATGGGAGGTGAGGCCGCGCTCCTTCCACAATTTCAACACCTTAATAGTAATAAAATAATTAATAATAATAATAATAATAATAATTAATATAATACTGTAGAATTCACGACCATGATGTAATGAAGTATAGAGATCATAGGATTTAGTGTTAGATGAAACAATTAGTTCGCCGACGTGTCGGAATATTTTAATTCCACCCTCAGGGCTAGCGTACAAAAACAAGGAATGAAGACAGCAATATGAATATACAATACACAAATTAATAATATGATATCCAAAACGATAGGAAATGTACACACCTTACTAAATAATTATACAGCCACTCAGTAAGATTATGTCAGGTTTCAACCCAACTCCTCATGGAGTTGCAGCAGCGCAGTGGCCTATCCCCTACCACTTTGTCATGTGCACCACTTTGATGCCTTGGCCTGTGTCACACATGGTGCCTGAGTGATTTTCTATCATTTTTGCATATTATATTATTACAGCCTGAGGCCATGAGAGAGGTGTTTATTGTTTCGTTAGGTACCCAGGTACTCGGTAAAAATACAAAAGCAATGCAATAGTTTCGATTTTGATTCAAATATGCAAGGAGAGATTGTGTTCTTTCACCTATTTTCATACTGCACGTACCGAGTGAATTCTCACACTCAATGTGTCACTGCTTATGATACAGCGGACGTTATGCGATTGCAAGGATTTAAGGAAGAGGCCGCTTGCCATTAAATATTTGCTATTCAATCGTGCGATATAGAGCAGCAGTAAGGTAAGTCGCGGAAGGCGTCAGGTAGCCGCGTTATGCACTAACAGTGATATGGGCCAAATAGACATTACGTCTTACATTAGTCCTAAGATACGACCTTATAGCTTCATATATAGTGCACGTCTATAGAAGTCTCTATGACTCTCTTACAATCGGCAAAATGGCTGCTAATAAACCGGAAAGGTTGCGTTTTTCCAATTCTGTTGAACTGATTCTCGTATGTGTGGCAGTTACAATTATTCCTTACCAACTCCAAAAAGCTGGCGAGAATTAACGGAAATGTTGGAAAGGTGACAGGGAAGAAATTCTAGGAAAAAAGTTGCAATCATGTCTTTGGGTTAGATTATGTGTTATGCTCATAACGAGAGCTATTTTAAGACATTTCCTACATTCTCAAGAAAAGCCGATTCAAAATTCCAGACTGTATATCCATCGTGATGGGCCACAAAATCTAAAACTCTGTGCCCAATGAAGGTTTGTTGTACTCTTGACTAGTATCGCGGTTTAAATATTAGCCAACACTTTTTGATCTTTTATGCAACTTCTTTGTTCAATGCTTCAAATGCTTCTTTTGTAATAATCCATAATGCAAAGTTGCAATTGCTAAAACTCTTCTGAATGATGTTCATTACGGCCGTATAAAATCGTTAGTCACGTGATCAATAGAGTTTAAAGATGTTTCATTATGCTTGGCGTTAAAACTTCCTATTCAGTTTGGAAAAAAAATCGTATGCCCAGTAGACGCTAGTGTTGTTCACAAATACCAGACTGACGGACGTTTTGCCGTTAATCTATTTTTCAGAATAATGGGATTCTGGATATACCACGTGTTAGAGAATTGTTTTCGTACTTTAGCAACTGGACGTGTCCTTTTTTTCGTTATCAGGGCTCGGCCATTATTTTTTTCCTACCGAAAATCCGCCGTTTTTCCGCACAGCATTACATAACTTGCCATTCACTATGTATATTACTCCGTATAAACCTATGCATACGGAAAAGTAAAAATCATTTGAAACTACAATTAATTAAGCATTATTTCTAATATTTACATAATTTGAAGAGCGCCGGCATGGTAATGCAGGAACCAAGAACGAGTTCAAGTGCATGAACCCACAACTTCAACGTTGTGGTTGCGATAGCGCGCAAGGTATGGATGTTGTGAAAAGAAAGCGAATGAGCATATGAGAAAATGGCGTTATTGAAATTGCAAAATTTTGAGCTCGTTTTCACAGAAAACTGTTGAGTTTTCTAAAAAGCTTTATATGTTTTTACCCAGTTTACCGTTGATCTAAAATGTTAAAGAACAACTATCGCAGGATTAAATATAATAATTGGTTATGGTTAACACACAAAATCGAATTTTCGTATTTAATGTAGGTGTTCGATCATCGCGACCATTCAGGGTCATTGACGATTCATGAGAGTTACTAACTAAATCGACATTTGTATTTTAATATTATTTACGAAATTACTTCATAACATCCTATTTCAATGATTTCATGCTCGTAGTAATGGAAGTTTTGACAAGTGAACGCCAGCATCATTGGCGGCGCTCCTAACTCCACTGGGCCTCGCCTGAGGCCGCGGCCTTGTTCCCGTTCCTCGACTTGCGTAGGCCTCTATCAGCGCCTCGCATTCCTCCGCCCCACCGATGGCGCCTCTCAAGGGGCGGCGAACCTCACTGGCTTCAATTGCTTCAGGAGATAACTCCGCAATATTTTGTACCGGCGCCGTTAATTGTTTCCTCTAGTGCTAGTCTAGCACTGATATCTCACTTTTTATGTTTGTTCGTTCGTTCGAATTACCAATTTTCTAGATTAAACATAATCAATCTTCATTGCATTTATTTTGTATTTTTAATTTTTGAGTTGACTGTGATAGTTTTTTATCTACTACATTAGCTTTGTGTTTCCTATCCGTTTATTTAACACGTTCATTATTATTGTACGTGTTCGTTCCTGGAGCAATCAATCAATCCCAGCTGCTGCATGTCGGTTCATCGCGTCTGCTCTTTCCATTTGAAGCAAAGAGAAGTGTTGCCTCCAGCATGATCTCCTTATTCAAAGCTCATTACCCGCACTTTTCACGTTATCCTATGCGTGGCCTTAACGTCTTCCGACTTGTCTCTCGTCAATTGACATTAAGGCTGACGTACGACGGCGTAGACGCTCGCTCATACGCTGATTCGCTCATTTCTTTCTTCTAGCAGCCAGAGAGAGGTACTCGGTCGTACATGCCAAGCGGGTGTTTTTGTTTCGCCGGACCGTCCCCCCAATCACGTCCCACTTCCGTGAGCGCCGTCGCCCCGGTCACGTTCCCTGGCGGACGCTCCTCTTTGTCCCCGCGGCGCGGCGCGGTGCTGCTCGGCGCGGCGCGGCTCGGCGCGGCTGCGCGGCTCGTGCTGGCTCGTTTGCCTCTCACGGCGCGCGAGTGTGTTGCCCTCGCAGGCGAACGCCCCGAGCGCTGGCTTCAGCCGGCGCCCCCCCCTCCCCCGCCACGTTTACGACGTTGTGGCTGTCGGTGCCGTGTAAAGAATGTTCCCAAATTCCGGATCGAACACTTCTCTACTGAGCTGTTGATGAACTTTCAAGTGCTACCCAACTGTGATGTTTCCCTGTCAGGGGTATCGATCCAATGGTTCACACGCCCTGCCGCGCACTACCCCTCGCCACGTTTACGACGTCAAGGCAGTCGCACCCATCGACTGGGTGTATAGGCTGTTCCCAAAATCGGGATAGGATAGTTTTCATCTATGGAGAAAATGAACTAACAAGTGCTGCAACTGTGTGATTCCGTGATAGCGTATTTTGGTACATAGCCATTCTCCCTCCTGCTCCCTACCTTCAATCACCCACCACTACTCCCCAGATTGATAACAGTTTCGTGGCGGAGAATAGTATATATTCATACATATAATATATATTAGTCGCATATAGTATTACGGAGCCCTAAATAATAATGCGAGAAAATGTGCTGTTGTATCACCATTAGTTTCCTAAAACTATCCTTTACGCAATAAATACTGAAAGAACATTATTGAAAAAATCGCTCAACTGCGTATTTCTTATCAGTAATTTCCGAAAATACAAAACTATTCTATGTAATGAAATTATGTTGACCCATATTTTGTATTTCAATATTTATTGCACTATTAATTAATCACGTTTGAATGCCGCACTATATATTACTTCACTCGCAAAGTATTGAATGAAGCTCTGAAAGCAATGCTATGACTACTATAAATAATTTGAATGGATATATAATGTTATGGATTTACGTAAAATGCTTATGCGGAGAGGTTTTTTATACGATTTTACAATTTTTTTCAACATAAAAATTACATAAGCATACCTTTCGGGATAAAACGAATTAAATAACATTCATTCCACACCAAATAAACTGAGATAGTGCACACACACATAGACACAAACACCACGTACTTCATGATGTACTAACATACGTGCTCAGGCAACGGTCGACCCAATCTTTTTTTCGCAAGAGTCATTCTCACGTAAAGGTTTATCATCGTTTGCGAGGTGTACTAAATACCGACGAAACAGTCCTGCTACTCGCATAACACCTCATCCTCCTCGCAGAAACCCCGCGCGCACAACCCGACGGGAGCCACGTCACCGTGTGCTCCCACTTCTTGGAAACGCTTCCGCAGCCATTACTCCTGCGCGGGCCGCTGGAAAGAATGTATATTTCATGTATATTTCCGTGGCACGGCGCGTCGCTGCTCGTCGAGAGGGACGTTTCGTGCCGTCACGCGCTCGCACTGCGTGAACGTAGATGCTATCGTAAAAGTTATTTCTAACATCACCCCTTTGACGCCTACGCTAGGCATTCGCCTTTCTAGATAGGTGAATTATCTCAAAACTTTTAATGCTGTTGAAGAAAGAAGGTAGTAAGTTTACTTCCGATTTGATGTAAGTGTAAAACGCAAAGCAAAAGTGTACAACTTCAACAGGTTGTTCGATTCGGACAACTATACTAGGAATGTCGGAATCATGACATTCACAAAAACCTGAACCCAAGCACAAAATATAATAATATGTCTAAGATTCAAAACAATGATTTAGTGTTATTTTTAAGGAATAAAATTATAATTAACAACAATAATAATATGTGGTTTTATTGCATGATACGAAAAATGGGTTAGTTATAAAGTAAATTTTAATATTTGACCTGTAGTTTTGCGGTACCTTATTACAACTAATCTATTGAGTTGCTTCATAAATTATGTTTCTAGCTCAGATGTAATCTCTTTCATCAATGTTTCGAGAAAAAATAAAGGGAAGATGTAACTATATTACCAGAATGAAACTAGATTAATGCCCTTTAGATTTGCTAAAATATCGGAAATACATTTTTTCTGAATCATGATTGTGATATAAGTTTATATATAACGAGAATAACAGGGATTTTGCGGAGTTACTGCGAAGAACTTTGATTCAAGCAGAAATGCTTCTACGATTACCTTGCTCTTTCATTATAGTTGTTTTATGCTTTTTCTGAGAAATCTAATTCCACCAATTTGAAGGACCCCTCGCAATTCCTTACAAACAAACGAACACATTACAATGAAAATTACTAGTGCAAAAACTTACACTGAATATCAACAGATAATCGAAGTTTTAAACGTTAGTCCCACAGCTGTCCCTCTCTCGTAGTTGTCGTTATATCGTTCTAATACGCTTCGTGATCAGACAATGGTCGTTCCACCTTTCAAAGTGTTTCGTGTCGTCGGCCGCTCTTGGAACTCGCCTGCTCATCTCGGGCACTCTCCATTTCGCACGCAGTCCCTGATCCTCGGCGGCTCGGCGAGGCGATGGCTAAGCCACTTAAACGTTTCCCACCGCCAGGACCAACTCCAAGGGATCACGCCGCTGCAAACGCAGCTGCCTCCTCCGTCATTGCCTCCTCCACCCCGGCCATGGACAATGCCCTACCCGCACGTCAGCTTGTGCGGCACTGCTGAGGGTGCAAGAATGTGAATATCACAGTTTTGGAACGCAAGTGCGCGTTAGTACTTGTAGCTACTTTAATACTGCTTCCGTAATTGTTCATGAGAAATCAACTATGTTCTTCTTCGTGGCAGCATCACTTTTTCCGAAGTTCATAATTTCCTCGACATCGTAGAGTCCAAATCTCACCACAATGGCCGTGTTTCTGCGTTACATTCCCTATTTCCACCACCTCCCTCAATATTAGCAGCGTGATTATATATATATGAAAGAGCGAGAGAAAAAAAGAAAGAGAGAGAGAGGGGGGAGATTTCTGCCATTACCGCCATGACTCACCCAAGTGAGCTTGACAGCTGCTAATATCTTCTTTGCAATCTCGTTAAAGCGGCGTGAGAGGAGCATCGTCGTCACCGACTCGCGGCTTATCCTTTCATCTTCTGGCACCGCTTATCTCCTAAACCTGTGTGGCTGACTTCCCTGCTACCACTCCCAATCCCAAATCTTCTCTTCGAGAGCCTTCCACCCTCCGTGTCCCCGAGCGCTCCTCCTCGGCCGCCGCGGCGCGTTCCGGAGCGTCGCTTCACGCGCCAGCGCCGACGGGGCGCGCGGCCGCGTCCTCGCCCCCGCCCCCGCCCCCGCCCCCGGCTGCTCCGCACACGCCGATGCTCCTCTCACGCCGCTCGGCCTCTTCTTCCGCTGCGCCCGAGGAGGCCGCTTCTGCCGAGGGCGCACTCGTCAGGCGCGGAAGTGAGACAAGGTTTGCATCGATCGCAAACAGTGGAACACTTTATGCAAAATAGTAGAGAAGTTCGGGTGTGGAATAAAAATTGTCGCTTTAAAATAGTGGACTCATAAGATTCTGGACTGAACCAATCAATACACTTGGGCAACTTCCAAATGATGGGAATTCATCGATGAAAGCCCTGATATAGTTGTTGCTGTCTCTGTGTGTGTCTTTACTCTGAGACTATGCCCGTGTGATTAAGTATTTCATGCAAAGCGAGTGCATTAGAACCTAGATAATTCGGATTAAAATAACTAGCATTCTTCGATATTTCATTACTTCAACATTCTTTGTTAGCGTAATGTTCAGTTAGTGGAACCTGGATTTCATATGTACTATGAATATTTTTTGGATTTTTTCTCGTACTAAATATATCACTGAATATGCTGGCTTATTTATCTTTTTGTTTACGTATTATCCTTGACTTAAATATTCTAATGATCAAAATTGTTCAAAACTTCAATCCGCTTCTCAATATGTGTGTGTCTGTGTGTGTGTGTGTGCAAATTTGGGTTATTGTACAATGTGAAATGAGTAATAAAGAAATCAAAAGAAACAGATCGAAAACAGGAGCAGAGGTAAAGGAGTTTCTAGTAATTCGAGTACCATTATGGGTCTTCTTGTGGGTCGTTAGTGCTCTTGCGTACACCTAATGTAACACCGCGCAGGAACCACTTGAATTAAACAAGGTCGTCATCCATAATGATATTTCACAGTTTTGCAATACCAAGCACCTACCATTATTTCCATTGCCCCACGCAAAACGCCAATGAACTACCTACCCGCATAGTTCGTGTCGTTAGCGTTGCGTAAAAACGGTCCCGCGGCAGCCCGCACATTCTCTGAATTCAATCAGCCCCGCAACTTGGTTCCTGCGTTTTCCAACATGCTATGGCTACGGAGTGAACTTAACCGCTAGAAATAAAATATTCGGCGCTGAGGGGAATGGCCGACTGCACTCCACTGACAACCAAAGCAATTTCATCAAATTCACGTCGAATCGGTTTGGTGCAAATTCGAACCCTTGAGTCACACGGACTTAGGCGAAATGTTCTTCCAAATAACGACATCTTCAGACGTCTCAGAAAGTGTTAGTGGATTATTATCAGATTGGCATCGATGTCATAATTGAAGTCTCTACGTGAAGCAGGTAATGCAATAAACGCGGACTGCAAATCATGATACTGACGAATTCACTATTGTAGTTGAATTGTTAAAATAAATTCAGCGAAATATCCATTCTATAAAAAATCAATACAAGTAACTCAGAATATCCTCCAATCACTAATACTTTCTTCCACAAGAAAACTTCAAAAATCCTCTATGAATACAAGTGTAGTACAAAAAGATATAAATGAAAGTTTCGACCTGCACTGCTTCGGGCAGTGCCAGTTCATCTTCAGCTTGTATTCACTCTTCCGGCCATCCTTGTCTCTTCAGTTTCTCGAACAGGACCCGCCACTATAATTTTCTGTTCTCTTTTTCATTCGACCTCGCGTCCTCAAGCAGTAGCTAAATTACACTGGACCTCTCGCGGTATAACATCGGTTGAAAACAAAAGAGAGTATAACTTTCAAGTGAGGTCAACATTGCACTTTGTAACGTTGCACTGAATATAATTCTCCTAAATGTACTGCAATATCAGTTCCATTAATATATATCTAAATTATATTTTGTCCACATGTACTGATAAAATACGTTGCTAAAGAATAAGTAATGGAATATATTCGTTTTGATAAAAAAATTATCGTCAATAATTGAAAACGCCTTTGTAATAAAACGAACACTGAATTTTTAGAGTTCTCTTGATTTCTAAGCCATTGAAATGTTAATTTCATCACAAAAACACGTCTTTGAAGTTATTATAAGAACTGTACTAAATAATTTTGCTTTTATTCAATTTATAGTTTGTACAATAAACTACTTTGCTTTCAAATGAACACAGTAAAAGTTCAACTAAAAGAGGATATACTGTGCCCTTCAAGACCGTTATGTAAAGGTTGTTTAAAATTAATGTTTACACAATACGAAAAATAATCAAATTAATTTTAAAAATAAAGTTCAGCAAAGTTCTTCTACAAACATTTCCAATCGAACTTTTGTTTCTCGTCCGAACAAAACCCAGAGCTTCCCACACACCATTTCCGCTACATAATCTATCCCGCTCTTTCATTCTGGGATGCGTGACTGTTTCTTCGGGGTCCACCCGAAAGTTGTCTTCCGCGCCTGGCGCATCCCACAAAGCGAGTCTGTCCCGCGCACTCCGCAGAGGCCGTTGACTTGGGTTCGGCGATGGCGCTTCGCCTCGAGCGGTTTGCGTCGCGTTGCCGCCTCCGCTGCCGCTCACGCTGCAAAGAGCGCGCCGCTGTCGGCTGCGTGCGTGGCGTGGTGGCGTGCGCTACGCACGGGGGGACCGGGGAATTTATCAGTTGCCTGGAGAAGGCAAAACTCTACGTCATGTTGGTCTGTGGATTAGTCGGAAAATCTCTGAATTAATTGGGGATCTATAATAACAGGACGGATTGGCCAATCCCTCGATCACAACCATTAGATCTTTACAGTGGAGGATCGCGTCCTGACAATAGCCTTTGTGTGTGGGTTCTTCTCTTCCACCAGGAAATGGATCAGAGGACACCAAGGAAACCACAGTTCAGAACTTGACTTCTAGGCTGTCCGGGTTACGCCGCGTCGTTCGCAGATAGGCATGTACACAGTTCAGAACAGCCGATTATAATAATAAATAATAATAATAATAATAATAATAATAATAATAATAATAATAATATCATCATCATTATTATGATCTATTATTATTAATTATTATCATCATATTATCTATTATATTTTATTAGTATTATTATTACTTATCCGGCAGTATTATTTAGCTAGTATAACAAATTGGCCCTATTTTGTATCAAACCTGATTTATGAATCTCCAGTGTCAGACAAGTTCATAAGCAACAACAGCCATATATATATATATATATATAATATATTTATATATATATATATATATATATATATATATATATATAAACTTTATCTTTTAGAAGTACATTCGTAAGGGCGAACAAAGTAAAAAAAATGTAGATGAAATATTTTATTAAGTGTTCGGAAATTCAGCTTCGCCTAAGGGCAAAAATTCCCGTCCTTCGACCTGCATTAGTCAACCTTCATTTATGTTAAGCCAAGCACACGTCCATCGAGTTACATACACGATGCACGTTGTATTACGGCGACGCTTATTTCGATTTGGGCATTTTGGAGTTCGATGAGGATAACAGTCACCCCTTTGCAAGTATTTGAAAAGCTAGGTGTGTTTATTTGAGAGAAATATGTTGATGTTAGAACTAAGTAGGCATACCACACTCATTTGCCGCGAACACATAGCTCCAGAAAGCGATTTATTTCTTGAAGAAATGTTCATTGAAGGATGAATTATAATGTGACGAAAATTTAAAATATGTTAATGACCTAAGGAGTTTCATAATCACCTTTGCAAATTACAAGAAAATTGTGACATAGTTCTGTTAAATAAATAAAAATATAAAAGAAACAAACAATTAAAATGTCTTCAAACCTACATGATTTAGTGCATTATAAATCGTCAATGCAAGTGAATAATTCCCTTAGAAATAATTTCCCTTGAAGAAATAAATAATATTTAGCATGCACATTCGATGGGTACTTTCATGTGAAAAATTAATTTCTGGTACGTAAGTCATAATGAAAATACATTTTTAACACGTTACAGTTACCTGGCTCATGTATAGTCGAGAATGGACAAAAATGTATCGATACAGAACACTTCAAAAAGTTTATTTTCATTAACTTTACTTATCATAATCCTTATGAATCATTCCTAAAGGAAACACGTTATTTTAGAAAAGTAATAAAGTAATTTGCGTTCCTCTACCTGTGTGAACCCCGAAAATATTTTTAGTGGCAATACACAAATGTTGAAAACCACTAAAACTTTTCCCTTGAAGTCGTCTCAAATATTCTAGAAAAATCCAACTAAAAATACGGCCAGTATCTATAATACGCCCCCCCCCACCGGATAAGCACCTACAACGCATTTTGGAAGAGTTGGGAAGAGTTTTAAGCCATCTTAAAAACGACTATATTTTTAATAGGTAATACCACGTGTGCTTTGGAAATTGTCGATAAATTTCCGACTCGCGAAAGGAGGCCAGGATTTATCTGAGAATTGCCAAAGCACGTGGTACTTAATAGGACATTCCACAAGTGAAATGATGTTCAAACAGAGTTCAAAAGAGTTCTCTCCATAGCGCGTTACAAAACAATTTTAATTGGTTTTTGAAGTAAATAAAATAAAAATAAATAAATCAGTATACTACCAATATTTGCAATATGCATTACATAATTTTATCTTAAAAATTTACCGTTTTTGTAATTATAATAATCAATTTGCTTATTTCTGATAATTTCAAAAATTATTTTGCAACATCTTTTGATTTAAACACTGGGTATAAGCTCCCTTTTTATTTAATGGAGAAAATCTGTTTGTGTTATTTTTTAATATTGCTGATTTTGCCGCGAAAAACTACTAACATTTTTTAAAATATGTACAGGACCGTGGACAATATCGATGAATGAACTAACTATGGAGAAAAAAATATACTTGAAGAGAACATTTCTGTCTTTAAATTGTCATTGGGTAGGAATAAGTCGAAAATTTTTCAAACTTCAACCATTTCGAAAATTCGTTATTAGTGTGAAATACGACCTCGGCCTCGTTATAAGTGTGTTTACTCTATTCTTCCATCAATTTAAAGAAAAAATTGGAGTCATTTTTGATAACACTGGGGTATAAGCTCCCTTTTTATTTAATGGAGAAAATCTTGTTTGTGTTATTTTTAATATTGCTTGATATTTGCGCGAAAACTACTAACATTTTTAAAATATTGTAACAGGACCGCTGGGACATATCATGAATGAACTTAACTATGAGAAAAAAATTACTTGAAGAGAACATTTCTGTCTTTTAAATTTGTATTGGTAGGAATAAGTCGAAAATTTTTCAAACTTCTAACCATTTCGAAAATTCAGTATTTAGTGAAATACGAACCTCGCCATCGTTATAAGGTGTGTTTTACTCTATTCTTCCATCAAATTTAAAGAAACAAATTGGAGTCATTTTTGATAAAATTTTGAAAATGTTCCACTGGTTTCACGTAAAGTATCCCCAAATTTTAAAGAATGTTTTCCCAAATCGCAGTCTTTCGAGTCGAGCCAGAGCGACCGGGGAATTTCCATTTATGAAAAAATCCTGTATATGATTTAGGCGTTAGTAACACTTCGTTCCGTAAGCTACATATTTTTCAAGATTTACCGACTGAGTACATTTTGGACCCAGTTTTTTCGAAATGAAAGCTTTTTTAACAAATTGTTTTAATACAAGTTTATGATTGTATGGATTGGGAATATAGTTGTTTGTAATTGCAGATAATGATGCTAATGTTTATTTTAATAAAAAGTAAAATATTGTTACTTTACTGTCTATTTAATTCCTCGTGTAGCATGTTTTGACTTTCACTCGCCATAATTTAAAAACATCCATTTTAGAACTCTATATCCTTATCTGTGGGTAGTGAACAGTTATTTAAATTTATTTTGAAATATAGTTTAAATCACTTAATGACTCAAACCTGCTAACAATCAAGTTTAAATATTTCTAAATAATAATTACAATCAACAGTTACTAAGTAGGAGAAAAAATGACATTTTGAAGAATTCAATACATTAAATATGCAAAAAGCAACCACTATGTGTTAGCTAACTACTATTAAAAGCTTGATGGAGCAACACATGAACTGCCAGAATATTATTTTTTAATCCATCAAAGCTTAATATATATATATATATATATATATATATATATATAATTATAACGTATGGAGTGCATGCTTTGGGCGTGTGCGCAGCGCTGCGCATCGACGCGGGCCGCGAGGCGCGCGCGGGGCTGCTGCTGCTGCTGGACGGGCGGCTGCGCGCGCTGGGCGACGAGCGCTTCGAGGCGGCGCTGGCCGACAACGCCACCGCCGCCTTCCGCCGCACCGCCGCCAGATACGCTGCCATGGTGAGTCCCCCTCCGCCCCCCCTCATAACGCTTCAAGAACTTCTAGCAAGCGACGTTATAAGAGTCTGTACAATTGTCATGAACTTTTTTTTAAATTCTGGTTTATTCTGGGCTCGAACATCACGCCTGTGTCAAAGAGCTTATCGTGGAGCGTTTTGGTAACCAGAAAGTTACGCATCCTGTAGTCTTTTGGCACTGTGCATGTACTAACAGTTGCTTCTTTACACTGACCTTGGCACCTAACACCACCTAGCCTTACCTCTCTTCGCAAATGTCTCGGACAAACATAAGAATTTCAAGGTACAGTGTGTTGCTCGTCATATTACACAACTTCATTATCAAGTGTGACATTGCTCATTTCTGTATAGCAATCACATATTTACGATATACATTTCAACCGCTCTTTCCGTAGTTCGGCAATAAAGATACACTTCAAAAATTTGATATTAGAGAAGAGCATGTAATGAAAGTTGAGTCTACGAAGGCAACCAAATAGTGAGCAGCTAAGCAACCTCGCTTTGAAATCAATTGGAGTTCATAAAAGTATCAGGATAAATCTAAGATGATACGTATGTTGCATATACTTTTGTTGAATGAAATGATAAATACGATAGCAACTACTAAGCTTTAATTTATGAATAATTTTGATAACAAATCGCGTGTATAAATAAAATTGTCTCTGGAAGAAAGCACTAAAAACCTCTGTATTTACAGTTTTTTAAATACAATTTAATAATAATAATAATAATAATAATAGTAATAATAATAATAATCTTTATTTCTGGCGAGGCTCAAGCCGTAAGGCCTGCACTTCAGTCTACAATTCACTTTAACCACTAAAATTACAATTTTACATGAAGTTTCTGAGATTCTTCATGAATCTTATAACATAATAACACTATAGCATAATGGGTGGTAGACATCATTTAGAGTTTCATATAGTTAAAGACGCCTACTAACTGGAGATTTGCATGTGTTTTTGCATATCATTTTCAGACGACTTCAACATAACAGTGTTTTATTTGTGTTAACCCTGAGATAAAATAAAAAAGCATGCTAAGTGCTACGACTGCCCCTGAGAGGACGCGACTTTCACAGGTCAATAACTCTGTAGACACATTTTATTACGCAAAAGCAACACGACAATGTCTAGCGAGGACCTCCCAGGTATTCGGAGGCATCTCGACCGACGGCGGTCGTTGGGCAGGTAGACCGCAGCGAAGCCGACGACGGGCGCGGTTTTGCAACCCAGGAACGCAACGGGGCGGGGCGGGCTGGCTCTCTGAGGGCGGCGTGCCGCCACCGCCGCCTCCGCCACCACCACTGCTGCCTTTGCCGCCAACCGGCAAAGGGACGACAGCCCAAGGAACTCTCGGATTCTTACGGGAAAAAAAACTTCAACTAGTTGAAGTAACCAGGTGTCCTCCGCGTATTTATTCCAAGCATCTACAGGATAACACAGGGCATACATTATATTTACAGTGCAAAATCGAAGAAATTTCACAAATTGTTTTCATCCTTGCAAACCTCGTCCCCAGACGTCATGATTTAGTCCGTTCTGTCGGCCTCTTCATCGATGGGTCCTGCTCCATCCCACTCTGTTCCGCACCTCCCACTTCCGCCTTGCTTCGTTACGCTGTATTTTCTTCGTCCCGTTCCTTCTCATGCTGGCCAACATCGCCTCACCCGCGCTGATCATGATCTACGCCCCGCCCGGCTCCAACCCACCCATTCTCCCCGGTCCGTTCGACCACTGCCCCTCATCCCCGTTTGCTACGCCCAGCCTGCCACGTCCAGGGCGCATCGTGGTTTGTATTTTTTCCATCACATTTTAAACTTTTCTCCGTCAGCCCTGATTCCCTTCAAATGATGCCAAATCAGCAAAATCTCTGTAATGGATCACATGCTTACAAGTGTTATCGGAACTTACCACATTTCAAATTTCGCAGCAGCTGAGATAACGCAGATCAAATGAGCATTACGCCCTGACGAAGGTCGCAGAATGGCGACCGAAACGTCGGCACCTTCGCGATGGACGCGGCGTCACCCGGAGAGCCTAGTAAAGACTAGCTCAGATGGAGCTTTGCCGTTGTCTCAGCCATGACTGGCCGAGAGGTTCTAGGGTTCGAGTGCCGGCGGTGGAGGATTATTGATGCATAGCCAGGTCGATTTCAACTGCGGAAACTGGAGTATTTAGTGACCGGTTTTTTTATCGATAGATTTTCGTGGATTCTTCAACCAATCACAGACGAATGCTAGAACAGTGCCACTAACCGCTCGCAATATTTCTTTCCTCTCCCCGTGCACGCATTTACATGCACACGGACTGCCGTACATGGCAGGAGACCACCCGAAGCTCATACCTCGGCTGGGGCGATTCTCGGATGGGAAATCCCGCAAGGCGTTGTGTAGGTCGGCGTCGGATCTCATCAACTGGAAGAGTCACATAGCCAACCGCTGGGACTAACAGGACCATAGCAGGACAGCACCATAGCATAGACATACAGGACCAAGGACCATAGCAGTTGACGTGCCTGGAAAGAATCGATCAATTTTTTCCCTATTAGGCTTCTTTCTACCCGTCTGATCCTCGCCTCATCGCCCCCGCTGTCGCCACCGCCTGCGCCGCGTCCGCCTGGGCGGAGGAGGTTTTTGGGACGGGCAGCCGGACCGCGGGCGGACGCGACCTACGGGCGGGCGGCGGGCAGACAGCGGTGTGAGTTCCGGGCGAGCGACCCGCTGCCCGCCCGCGCCCATCGCCCGCCCGCTCGCGCAAGCCGACAACCATATTGCTCGACCGCTTTATGGCCGCCCTGATAGAGGCTACTGGTGCGCAGCTGCACTGCATGGGTGTCTGCGCCACAACTGCGCCTGTAATTTTGAGGCCGGGACCCGGATTTGTGTTAAAGAAGGAGAATCAGACTAGAAGTGGTTTCGGATCACGTCTCCACATGATGTAATGCAGCATGAAGGTAGGAATGATATACGAAAAAAGAATAGATAAATGAAATTATTGCCTTATCGTATATCTTCAATTGTTGCTCGTACTTGCATTGAGCTTATATAAAAATGTGAAGTTCCTCGAGCGTCCCGTTCACGCAAATGGCATGGTCTATAAAAAGTGTAATTGGATCACTAGCCATTTATTAGAGTGTTGGTTTATACCACAAGATGTACACTTCAAGAATTTCTAAAAATAAAAAAAACAGTATTGATTTCCGTAAAACACCTAATACATCATCTTAACAATCGTGAAGATGTCAGATCTAAAAAAAAAAGTTTTGCTTTTAACCGAAACTTTGTTCGCGTAGAAGTGAATTTGCGGATACAAGAAATAGTGTGTGCTATGGACATTCACATAGTGACCTCAGATAAATGATACATCAATTGTAATGATGATGAAGTCGATTACGCTTGAAACTACCACCGTGGTCTTGCACAACCAGTGTTTCAATCAGCGCCAATATTAGCATTCGCAAAAAGGAGAGAAGGTTTCCTAAGCCATGATTTTATTGGTATTTTTATGTTAGATACTCTGGGCTTATTTAGACAAAAACATTTTCTCAACCTTTACTCATGCTCTCATTGCCGCAAGTATCTTTTGAATTTTTTATTTTAAAATAATTGTAGCGTATGTGCTTTAATACCTTCCTTTCATAAACCAGGATATACTCGTATTAAATTAAATAATGTTAGGGCATTGCACAAAATATAAAATAGCAAGTTCTTTACTTCTTATAAACTACATAAAAATATCAAATATCAATCGACAAGATGCTGCAATTAATTTGACTTCGAAATCAATACATTCTGAAATCAATGTGAATCTGGGAATGCCCTTCTTCGAAATTTAGTACATCAGCAGTACGCTCTGAAGAATGCCACAATACGCTGGCCGAAACGTTAGCCACGATGACAGTGACGCGGCTCGTCCCGGATAGCCAAGACAGCACATTCTTGTAAGTGCAAATCGTCCACCTCATGAGGGTTTTCCTCCAGGCTCAAAACGACTTCTCGATGAGATCGATGATTGGAAATGATACAACCCCGTGTCTCGGACGGCGAACACCGCAAAGATCCACACGTCTCTCGTTGGCGGCCCTCACTCTGGAGCCCCGCAGCACGAAGCACGCCCGTGCATTCAGCCCAGATTTTATTGGTGCCTTGCCGCGCGTCCGTGTAAACACGCGCTCTTGGACGTGGGCTGCCGGGGGCGCGTGCCGCGACGGGGCGCCTTGCGCGCAATAAGCTTAGGAGGGGGGGGGGGGCGTTCCGGCGAGGCGAGGAGGCGTGCGCGCTGCCTTCGCACTCCGCCGCCTCTTCCGGTGCCGTTATGTCCAGCGCGCCCCCCTCGGACGGCCGCGCGCTCGCGAGAATCGTGCGCGAAATGTAGAACAAGAAATTGAGAGACCGGCTGCGACGTAGTAAGTAAAACTACAGGGGAAAAAGTAATTTTACGAATTCCATAATGTATAATCTGTTGAGAAATTACAATGCTTGAATCAATTTATGTCAACCGCGATAGACCATAGTATTGGTGGTCCTACAGTAAATAACGCGACACGTACTGTGAGCGGTCCTTCTCTCCACATGCACTTGAGTTGCACAGAGCACTTGAGTTGCAGTTGCACATGCACAGAGCTGAGTGATGGATTGATCACATCACACATTGAGAAAATCACCGGAAGACTAGGTAATTCGGAAGCAGCTATCAGTTGCGATCTTCTTCCGTAGAATTCTAACTGTCCCGATTTGCTGATGCAATCCATGAATTCTTAACGTAATAAAGGAAACTCTGATGTTGCCACCCACCTTTACCCCACCACATTAAACTAGCGGGTATTTGGGAACACTTGGGTAGGTACATAAAAGTTTGTTAGGTAACTCGAATAACATTTGAAATATTTTTTAGTTTACGAGAAATGTCCGTAAACCCCAAGAATAGAGCAGTTCATTGCTTCGGAATCTGTGTTCCACATAGTCACTGAACCACATTAGCA